CGGTTTTAGGAGATGAGACGAAGACGATAGATGCTCTTTACTTTTTTCTCTTTGCAAGCTTGCACATTATATGAAGACACGAGTTTTACAAAACGGTTGTTTTGTATTCAGTGGCGGCCCTGAGGAAGCATCAGCTCCTGGCATTCAAATTTTATTAATAAATTTCGGTCTTTTGTTTAGTAAATTGTCTTTTTGTGTAATGGTTTATATATCATTAGTAATACCAAGAATTCTTAAGGCATGATTATCCAAGGTGCTTAGTGGGTTGCTTAAGAGAGGAGGGCCTACAAAGAAAACAAAATCCAATTGCAAAGTAACCAAAACAAACGCTGGTTTTTGCTGAATGTTTGGACTGTTTGTGGATCCCGCGCATACGTGACCCACGATTGGTCCGTTTTTTAATTTTTTTAAATAAAAAATAAAAAAAAAATTAAGAACCCCAAAAACGGTTTTGTGGTTAAAAGTACTCGTAGGTTCGATTCTTAATTCGATCCGTTTATTTTATTTTACTTCTGACCATTTAAAATTCAGGATCGATACTGTTTGTATTAAAATATTATTTATTACAGTTTTTGTAGAGAACTTGCTTATAACCACAAAAGATGAGATTACATGACAAATCCACAATTTTCTAAAATAAATAGATTGTAAAAAAGAATTATTAACCTCTATATATATATATACTAGGTGATTTTCCCGTGCTCATGCACGGGCATAAATATTTATAAAATAAATATATTATAATACTTGATTGATATTTACTTTAACTTTTTATATTAATTTATAATTTTTATGTATAATTATATTAATAATATTATATTATTTTAGTTATATATAATTTTAGATATATTATAATATTTAATTGATATTTACTTTAACTTTTATATTAATTTATAGTTTTTATGTATAATTATATTAATAATATTATTTTAGTTATATATAATTTTAGATATGTTATATTTAGTTAGTTTATCATTTGGATATATATATATATATATATATATATATTATTTCTCTGAATTCAACTATAATCTTTTTTATTCTAAATATCTTAAATTTTTGATTAATTTTTTTATTTACATTTATGTTGGTTGTTATCTTAGAAATATAAGTATATCTTAGTAAGATTATATATTTTAATATTTTTTGTGCTTAGAACGAAAAAAATAAAAACTAAAGTGTCTGATTCTAAATTACATACATAAGTAATAATAAATTTTCAGAAGCTTATGAAAACATATCAATATTTACAATAATTAAATAGTTTAGAAATTTTAAATAATTTATGCCTTAGATTGATTGGATGGTAAAATGAAATTTATTTTAAATAATTTTTAAAATAAAGAATTATGATTTTCTTAAGTATTTTGATTATGGTTATATTAAATTCCACGAACATAAAAAGAGAAAATTAAACATCAAAAGAGTTATTAAGAAAACATATAATTTTAACTATTAAAATATAATATATATACCTCGTTAAATTATATAGTGTTATGATATTTTAAAAGAATTGTAGTTATCTGATCAAAAGATGTTTACCATTAAATTTATTTTTAGTTTTGTTTTTAATATCTCTTAAAATATGCAGTAAAGATGTGATTGTTTTTGAGAAATTATATTATATAAGTAAAATATAATTTATATTTTTTACTGTAACGGTAAGATATTATAATCAAATAAATATACTAATTATAATTTTTTTTTGTCAATTAAACATATATCAGTTTATGTTACTTAATTATATTATTATGTAATCATCTAATAAAATAGATAGATATATACAAAAACTAATTACTTTGAAAATATATATTTTATTGTTTAAATTATTTTTTTTAAGAAAAAATATTTCTTTTTCTAATATCAAGATTATTTGTATGAAATTTTTTTATGAAAACACATTATATACAAATATTTTTTCATCTAAGAAGATATAGATATAAAGTATAATTACTTAAAAAGTATAATTTATGTTATTTAAAAATATATTTAAGTTAAATATTATTATTTTGTAAACTTTCCTTTTTTATGAAACCATATTATATATATACTTATTTTCGTTTTTAAATAATTTTGTAAATTTTAGAAATATTTCCTTTTTGTTTTATATCGTTATTTGGAAGATTTTAAAAAGGAAATAATATTTAAATATATTTTTAATTCATTAGGGGTATCATAGTAATCAACCAGCGTGAGAGTTAACATGAGCGCGACACCTAAGAAAGTGACTTCTCAAATAATATTATAGAGATATCTCTGTGCTGCGGTCGATATATGACATGTGGTCGAATCTCATATCTAGTTTTTTTATAGTGATTTGTTGTCGTCATCAAAAGATTTAGAATAAACACCTAAACTTTTCTATGGGAGCAAAACGATTCGTTTAATGATTTAAAATGGCTATATTTTTTTCTTTAAGCCGGCTAAATGTTACAGTTTTTTAGCTGCAAAAAACAAAGAAAAGATTAAAACATAGGAGAATAGTAAATGGAAGTGATAAAATAAAACAAACTATTTTATTAACAATCGGAAGGGATGAAAAGCAATTATAGAATAGTTTACAAACTATAAAAATAAACGGCAAGCAAAAGTGATACGTTCTTCGTTTTAATAACTAACATATGCTTCTGATCATATATTTAAAAACATTTTATTTCCCTTCTAATGAAATAATTTCAAACTAAATGATTATCTGCACTCATGTTCTTTGATAAAATTTATACACAAAAAATTATTTGAATTATTCAATCATCGTTTCATAAGTTTACAAACGTATAGTCATAGATCATAAATATAAAATTATCGAGTATCAGGTCATGTTGATATTTTTTCTTAAACCTATTGACTTTACAATGAATTTCAATGATATTGTTAGGATGTTACCATATATAGACAATAATGCGAACTGACTCTACGTTGTGTTGGCACTATGAAATTAATGCAAAAAGGTAGAACTGAATTAAAATGGGGTTTTAATTCATTTATTCTAAATTTTATACACCCATATTTCGCCTTATCGGGACATAACTCGTACCTGTTGTGACAATTTTTTGGTATATCAATTAGATTATTAATCAGTGTTCGTTATGGTGCCCATATCTCATTTGTTGCCCCTCATTCACTACCAGATTCTTTTTCGACGAAAATGGGGATATAATTGTTTGTTTAATTTTTAAAAGAAAAGATATATAGAGATTTCCCAATTGGGAAATTGCCAACGTAACTCAGTATAAAGTAAGCTGCTGTCAGGCACGCAAATAAAGGTCTGCATGTTATGAAAATATGGTCGGTCGAAGAATGATCTACTTTAGGATATTTAGTTTTCTTTTTCCTAGTTTTTTTCGTATATTATTACGATACGTGGATTGCTAACGTGTGTTATTACTTATTACATACATATATAGAACTGTTTGTTTCATGGTAATTTGTTGAATTTAAAGTTATTCGTTGGAACATGCACTAATCGTTGTAAAAGGTCATTTCTCAATCTTGATTTCGGTTTTAAAACCTAACCGACGATGGCATGCCAATTTCGAACTAACCTTTTAGTTTTTTCTCGCGATATGTCAAGTTTACAATAATGATAATTTTTTCTTTAAACACCAGTACTACTATAGCATAGCATATCGATGATCATGATCACTATTGTCACTTGGTTTATAAGATATTAAATACTTTAGTAAAGTAAGTTAAATAGAAATCGTTAAAGCTAAAACATGTCAAAGTTATTTAGCTAAAGCCGTATACGTGCCCTACTTATGGGATTGCACAATTTGATATAAGTTTTCGAAATAACTTAAAATGAGCTGTCATTATATATATATATATATATATATATATATATATATATATATATATTCAGTGATTAGCGAGGCTATTAGTACATAGAGCTATCAACGATATCCATTTGTGTTCAACCGTGCATGCTTCGTGTTGCCAAAACATTAAATTTGTGTTCCTCCTTTCTATGATTTATAAATTATATATTTCTTCAGATTCAACTTAACTAGTTGACTTAAATGAATGATAATTATTTGGTATGGTTTTTGTCCCAAAGTGTTGATTTTGAAATGGGAAGACGTCAAGGCAGAGGAGAGAGAGATAAAAAATAAGAAGTGGAAAGTCCTTCCCTTGATCTGGCTGAAATGCGATGTAGGTTATTTATTCATGTCACAAGAAGAAAAGATTAGTAGATGTGATTGAATTATACGGAGGAATCATGTTGGGATAGGCTTTTTGCATAGCATGCTTTGATTGGCATTGATAATTTTTGTGTTAAATGATGGTTAGTTCTTGAAAATAAAATAATCAAGCACAAAAGAGGTCACATCTAAAACCAAATAAGCGTTTAAACTTTAAAGCATTGGCTTCAATTAAATAAAAAGGTCCAGTATAATTAATTATAAATAAATAAATAGAAAAACATAAACCTTTCCCTTACGTACCGTACATTTGTCTCTAAATTGCTCCAATTATTAATTTGTTTAATTAACCAAACATTAGGCTTAATAAAAACTAAACAAACAACTTAATCATTTTGAGTGGCTCTGCATCTGTTTTAAATTAGGTTGGTTCATCTTTAATTAGTTTGTTTGTTTGGTCAAAATCTCACACGTTCATTTTGCATGCTCTTTGACACGTGCTATCGTCGTCTCTCTCAAATGAGCTGTCTTTCTAATAAGAGTTTCTCTGCATAGGAAGCTCTCTCTCTCTCTCTCCCCTAACCATATGAGAAAGCCCTATATAACCCCTTCACATCTCCCACTTGGTATTGCATCACACAATACCACTTTTCTCCATTACAAAACAAAAGACTTTTTGTTATATAACTTAAAAGTCACAAGTTCTTTGCTGTTCAACTACTTAAACACATAAACTAAATGGATTCCTCCTCCTTGTTTCTCACTCTCTCCGCCGTGATTCTCTTCCTCTACTTTCTCCGGTGTTTAACCTCTCAGCGCCACCGTGTAGCCTCGAAACTCCCACTCCCGCCGGGAACAATGGGTTGGCCTTACGTCGGTGAGACTTTCCAGCTCTATTCTCAAGACCCTAACGTCTTCTTCGCATCCAAACAGAAACGGTCAGTGCTTTGTTTTAAAAATCTAACTTGAGAAGTTGTAAAGAAACTGAAAGTTTTTGGTCTTGTTTTTTTTACAGGTATGGTTCGGTGTTCAAGACACATGTACTAGGATGTCCTTGTGTAATGATCTCGAGTCCTGACGCTGCGAAATTCGTGCTGGTGACTAAGTCTCATCTCTTTAAACCGACTTTTCCTGCGAGTAAAGAGAGGATGTTAGGGAAACAAGCCATCTTCTTCCACCAAGGTGAGTATCACGCTAAGCTTAGGAAGCTCGTTCTTCGTGCCTTCATGCCGGAATCTATCAGAGACATGGTTCCAGATATCGAATCAATCGCTCAAGATTCTCTACGTAATTGGGATGGAACAATGATCAACACTTATCAAGAAATGAAAACAGTAAGACACAAACTTGATACGTCCCCTGTTTTTAAAAACAGAGCATCTCTGTTTTTTAAAACAGAGAATCTCTGTTTCTTTATATATCCTCTGTTTTGAACTGTTGTTTTTCTTTCATCAGTACACATTCAACGTTGCGTTACTTTCAATCTTCGGAAAAGACGAGGTTCTATACAGAGAAGATCTAAAAAGATGCTACTACATTCTCGAGAAAGGTTACAACTCGATGCCTATAAACCTCCCTGGAACACTCTTCCACAAAGCCATGAAGGCTCGCAAGGAGCTCTCGCAGATCCTAGCAAGAATCTTATCAGAGAGAAGAGAGGAAAGATCCTCACACAACGATCTTCTCGGATCATTTATGGGAGACAAAGAAGAGCTTACGGATGAACAGATCGCTGATAACATAATCGGAGTAATCTTCGCGGCTAGAGACACAACGGCGAGTGTGATGACGTGGATACTCAAGTACTTAGCTGAGAATCCCAACGTTCTCGAAGCTGTTACTGTAAGTACTTTTACTGACACGTTTTTGTCGTGTTTTGGTAATAAGAGTGGTAGTTTTGTAAATTTTCTTGTGTTTTTGATAGTTTTTTTTTTTTTTTGGTGTTTAATAGGAAGAGCAAATGGCAATAAGGAAAAGTAAAGAAGAAGGTGAGTCTCTAGCTTGGGGGGATACAAAGAAGATGCCAATAACTTCAAGAGTCATTCAAGAAACGTTAAGAGTTGCTTCAATCTTATCTTTCACATTCAGAGAAGCTGTAGAAGATGTTGAATACGAAGGTGATATATAATTGATGATGATCCCAAACTACTCTTTGAACTTATTGAACTTATAACTTTAAAGAATCAGAGTTTTAAATTGTTTTTTTTTACAGGATATTTGATACCTAAAGGATGGAAAGTGTTGCCGCTTTTCAGAAACATTCATCATAGTGCTGATATTTTTGCGAATCCAGGGAAGTTTGACCCATCAAGATTTGAGGTATATTTATTTATCTTTTCTAGCTGTACGTTTTTGATGGTTTTTTTTTTTAATATTGACAAATTGTATCTCTGCTATATAGGTGGCTCCAAAACCCAATACTTTCATGCCATTTGGCAATGGAACACACTCGTGTCCTGGAAATGAATTAGCCAAGCTTGAAATGTCTATCATGATTCATCATCTGACCACCAAGTACAGGTGTGTGTGTGTGTGTATTACTTACTTTATTAAAAAGGATTTATTGCATTTCTCTCTGTTGAAAGCCGTCGTATTCATGGGGAGTAGTTATGGTTTTTGATCATTACAGATGGTCAATAGTTGGAGCTAGCGACGGGATTCAGTATGGGCCATTTGCGCTTCCCCAAAACGGACTCCCCATTATACTTGCTCGGAAGTCAGAGATTGATATGTAGTAGTACGTGATTTTCCCTTAGCTTTCTATAATTGGAAAGAGGGGAGTAGAGAAGAAAAATCAATAATTCTTTATTTTCTTGCTAAAGAAATAAGGGAGAGATGAAGAAAGAAGATCCAAGATTTTGGTAGAGGAAAAGATCCCAAAATGGGAAATGAGGAGTGTAGAAAGAAAAGTCTATTTTTTTGAATTTTGAGATAGGGAAACGCAGGTCATTAAATTTTCAAAATTCAGGAAAAAATGTCAGATAAAATATCAAATGTATTTTTTTCCTTCTCAGAAGCATCTCATGCATATGTTAACTGATTCATCCTGGGTTTGAAATTTTCATTTTGTTGTTATTATTATTATTTTTTTTTGTTAAAGAATTTTGTTGTTATTATTATCTGAAGACCCCCCTCCCCAAAGCAATATTGTACAGTTCGTGTGTGTTGGTTGTTTCATCAATAAATCATTCATTAATAAAACAAAAGAAATAACTTATAGCAGGAATTGAGTTAAATATCTAAGAGTTAAACTAGCAAGTTGCATCTGAATCTCTAATTTATTATTTCGTTATTGTATTCCAATAAAATTGAATTTCATAGTGTGCACAACAGACTAGAATTAGAGAACGTTCTATTTCACCTTTTTGGAGTAAAAATGGAATATGGTTGACGATAATCTAAGACAAATGTAACCGGGAAAAGAAAGCTGGGTCTACAAGACAAAAAATTAAGAATTTAAAACTATAGAAAACTTTAATTTTAAACTACGTTATTTATTATTTGGCGTTTGACTATTAAACATTTGAAATGAAGAGAACATTAGTAATTTATGTAAGTTTTGAGTATACTTGATTCGGTCCAAGATTTATCTAACTATGAAGGTAGAACTTGACTTACTTGATTGTTATTTTACGAAACATTTGAATACAATAATCACAATTACTACCCCTACTACATATTTTGTTTGTAGATTCAAGTAACCATATTAATGGATAACTATAGAATGATTATAATCGCCACAATTATGTAGAAGACAAAAAAAATCCTAATCTATTCAAAATTTTTGACGGACGACTTTCAACATCATCACCAGTCAGTTATGTTGAAACGCCGCGGTAATTATATTTGACCATTATCATCCCAGAACTAAATTATTTAAATTTTTACTTGTGAGATATATATCATACCTTGATTAAGAATATTGATGCACAGCTGTAATTGATTCTCTGGAGAAGAAATATCAAACGGGCTATCAATTTCTAGTCACTATCTGTCATTTTTCTTAACTTATGTATGTATATCCTGATATAACTTATGGCATATATTACTAGTATCTTATGGGCAATGGACAACTGAACCAACTGTACGATATTAAAAAACTCTATAAATTTGTCTTCGACTCATAACAAATGAAAAGTTCTATCACAAAACCAGATGAAAATTAATACTTTTAAGTTTTAACCAAATGATGTTTGAGATGCTAAGATTTATAAGATATGATTACTACTGGAAAGAAAAACAAAACTACATGATTAGCATATATTATTTAATTTCTCAACAGAAGAAATACGTTATACTTAATAAAGAAAAAGAAATAGAAATAAGTTATACTATAGGCCAAAACAAGATCGTTTGATTAGTATTTGTTCTGTTTACTTGTTTTGGGGACTTTGTACTACTGTACGTCATATTGTCGTCCCTTAAATGTACCATGCTCCATGATATTCACGTTCATTTTCTAATTTTAGATAATATATGGATATTTCATCCCCAATGGTCCCGAATATGCCGGTCCGTGTAATGAGATTGCAGTATGTTTTTTTTTACAAGTTCATATGATCTGTGGAAAACGTTTATATATTCTGGAAAGTTGTTATAGTAAATTCGTTTTCTTAAAACTACTATAACTATTCATACGCGGTAGATTTCCATCATTTCTAAACTCCAAAATGCAAAAGCTATATGATTGCAGGAAAACACAATCATTCCACAACACAATTCAAATCAGAAGTACAACCAAACCATGAAGATAAACATTGCAATTTTGAGATTTTGGGTTATAAACCATGTCTTATTTCGTATGCAAAATATATGACATGCATCATCGAGCTACATTAGAGTGAACCTGCGCGATCTAGACATCTTATAATGTGGAGGTACGAATACAACACACATCTGCTGCCATAGCAGCAAGGCTGGCATGTACTTCTCCCACTGCAACGGACGTAGCGCAATATCTCATCAATATCAGATCGGGCAAATCGACGATTCTCACATATCTAAATTAGAATAATGATGTGGTCATGAGTAAACAAATGTAAATTAAAATAATAAAAGTATACGTATCTGTCGTATTCAATTGCACTTATGCAAGTAATGATGCACTAGCATACATGAAGAATCAGGTATTATTCTTTGACCAAGAATAAATAACTTATAACTATAGCTCTATTACGTAGAAATATATGTTTGACTTGTGAACATATTAGTTTTTGTATTTCTAAGTTAAGTACGTGTACCATCAACTCCATTACGTGGATTGCTACATGATTAATAAATGTGATCATTTAATTAATTACGATGGATAAACAGTCTGGCATAGTGTGTTAGTATATTAGTTGACTTTTAGTGACTTGTGAACATCTTATACTATGATTTGTACGAGAAAAGTATCGATTAATTAGTTACGTGGTCGTTCGACTCACAAGAGTCGAGAAATGATAAACAAATACTTGTCAAGAAGGTGATTAAAATGTCGAAATGAGAAAATATAACAATACTGATCCTAACAGTAAAATCATTATTGATAATCACTTTAAATGATCATATTTAAATAGTGACTAAATCTTGCTGAAAAGAGATGCACTGAAAACAGTTTAATAGTTCATTGTTTCACTTATATATATATATAATTATTTTTAAGAAAACAAAATTGTGATTGGTAGAACTATTAACTTTGTGAAACTAGAAACTACTTTAGTAGTGGGAAGTGACCAAGCTGTAATTAAAACTCAAAAAGTGTCCCTATGTGTAAAATACTCTTTAATTTATCTTAAATCTTTGCAATCTTAAAGAGTGATTTAGTGAACTACCCATATTTGAAGCTCAAATTAGCAAAATACCATTGATTGGACATGAAGGACAATGACACAACCATTTGGCAAAGAAATGACGAGAATGCCCTTTCTCTTTCCTATCATTAACACGGAGCGTATCATTAACACGGAGCGTAAAAACATTTGTTAACATATAACACTTCTGTTAACGTCTACAATATTTGTTAACAGCCAACACATTTATTACCGCGAAGCGTGAAAATAATTGTTAACAGTTAACACTTCTGTTAACGTCTACAATATTTGTTAACAGCGAACACATTTATTAACGCGAAGCGTAAAAATAATTGTTAACAACTAACACTTCTGTTAACGTCTACAATATTTGTTAACCGCTAACACGACGTCGAATCTAAAACCCAGAAAATTGATATCATAAAAAAATTGAGGATTCAAAGCCACTTATGAAAAAAATAATGAAATTTAAAATTTAATTGTATATAGAATGATAGAGATTTGTAAAATAATTAGGGATTAGAGAGAAAAAAAAAAGGTCAAAATTGAGGATTCAAAGCCACTTATGAAAAAATAATGAAATTTAAAATTTAATTGTATATAAAATGATAGAGATTTATAAAATAATTAGGAATTGAAGAGAAAAAAAAAGAGGGGAAATATCAAAGAGAGGAGAGAGAGTGTAGAGAAGGGCAAAATCGTCACACGAAAAGCAACAATCACATCAAGGTTAATTTGCTAATTATAGGTGGCAAATATGGTACTTTCGCCAATTAACTCAATCTTAAAAGTCTAATTCAGTCAGGTCCTATGTCATGAGCCAGATTTAATAACTCAAACCCAAAGCTGGATTAATGGAGACAATTCCTACTCCTAATTAAATGTGTGTGTGTGGTTTGCACTTAATTTCAATTATTTTTTTGAAAGTATGTTTACTTACACACAACAAATGATATGATATTTTCTGACATTTAACAGAAAACACTTCATAGTAGATAAAACTAACAGTTTCGCTGTGAAGTGTGATGAAATCAAATGGTCATTAAGAAAAGTACACAATCACAAGGGGTTGTTTGTTGAGTGACTCGAATCCCAGTCACCCATTATGAATGTCTACAGATATACCAACAGTGTCGTATTATTTATTACAATAAAGTTCGATCATTTCCAAAAGATGATCATTTTTCAACGAATCTTATGGTTGCTACTAAAAAGTCACAATATGTTTGTTTACGTAACAACTTATGAACATATTTTCCAACCTTAGAAAATATTTTTGCATGTGTACTTTTACTGAGCAAGTTAATCAGAACACAATGCATAAACAGGTCTAATCTAGTTTCTCAGTGGTTTTAAAGCTGCGAGTTACACATGTAGCAAGTAGCTGCGAGTCTTGTGACTAGATTGATAAGATGATAATAAACTTATATGCAGGGAATGAAAGTTGCACATTTTTTCCATTGGAATTGTACTTGGAACTACATTAAGGGCATGTAATCTAACAAGTTAGACATGTAGCAAGTAGCTGCTGAGTCTTGTGACTAGATTGATAAGATGATAATAAACTTATATGCCGGAAACGAAAGTTACACACTTTTCCATTGCAATTGTCTTGAAACTATATTGGAGGTAGCTTGTCATTTCCTTCAAAGTAGGCTGAGATCCCGGTTTTCAGCTGCAAACGATTTAACGTTTTGAAAATGATTTCAAAACGAAGAATAATTGGGTGTAAGTAAGCATATGTACACTGAAATAAGGTATAGTACCCTTTTGATTGCATTAGCTGTGTCAGAGACCTCTTGTGGTTGCTCTCTGAGCAGACTGATCCGAGCTTCCATTTGACGATTCTGTTCTTCAGCCTGGTAAGTGAATGAAGACAATAAGAATTGGTTTTCAAGAAGCGAAATGAACAAAGAGTTGGTGCCCTGTGACTATCTTTTTGAACTTACTTACCCTCTGAAGCAGACGTGTTAATCTTTGTATCTCGCTCTTCTTAGCTGATGTTAAGTCATTTGCTACGTCCATTACATTGGTCCTGAGAAGAAGTCATTGTAGCAGTCATATCAGACTTCCAATATATGGTAGACTTACATTCTACCGTACTACCATAAATACATAATTAGTAAACAAAATCTATTAAGCGGCATGCATGAGATGAGACCTACTTCTCTGAAAACAAGGGATCCAAACTCTGTTCTTCGACCATCTGCTCAACTTTATCAAGAATTGGTCCAAACTGCAAAAAGAGAAAAATGTTTTCACTCAAAATGGATTTTGACAAATACCTCACTCCACAAGTGTGTGATCGATCACAAGCGAGGAACCTATTTACTAGTTAGATGTAAAAGAAACTTCTAAGCAGAAGTAGAAGTTCTGAAAATATTTTCCAGAGATGATGTAATGTAAACAACTGTACCTGAAAGTCTTGACACTGTGCATCAAACTCACTCTGTAACAAACACAAAAAAACGTTAACTAAGAGTTTCTAAATGACCACACCATGAATAAACCAATTCTTTTTTTATATCTTAGATTGAGAAAACAAGAATGGTTTCAAAAGCAAAGAAGTACCTCTAATGTCTGATGCAAATTCACAATCACCTAGAAACAAGTCACAGAGATATAGATAAAAAAAAAAAAGGTTACTCCTTTGATTTGTGTAACACCAAACATATAATAAAACCAATGGATATATTCATCTAGAGTAAAAGGATAACAAAGAGATAATACCTCATTATACTGCAGATACAGCTTATTTCGCTCAGCCACACTAAATTTCGAGAAAATATCAAGAAAATCCTTTAAAAAAAACACATAAAAAGGGTTATTAGCAACATACACAAAAGAAACATAAAGCTCTGATTTTTAATTAAAAATTAGTGATGAAATAACCATATTTTAATTAAAATATTCGATACAGATGTAGTTCGAGTTCCAATTCCAAAACCCTAAAACCCAATCAGCTGTCTCAATCTGGACACTGTAAGACTCAAGTTCAATAGCCCTAAACCCTAAACTCAACAAGACCGAACATATAATCCAAATACATCAGAACTTACCTAGACTGCGAGAAAAGAAAAAACAGTAAATAAATTCGTAATTTTGAGTGAATACCTCTCTGGAGCAGGCAGTGAGAAGAGGACGAATAGCGTCTCTGAACGATTTCTTCAGATCCGATTGTCTCGAACCCGGAATAACCGTTTCATGACCCGCTTCTTCCATCTTAAGCCGAATGAAAAAAGGCGAAACTGAAGAAAATCTGGGTGAAATTGAAAAATGATATTAAGCTTTCGGAGGGAAAAATAAAAATAATCTTATTGGAGCCCATATAAAGCCCACTTATCTTCAGTTAGAAGAACCAAACCATACACTTAACTTCAGTTACAAAACGTTAATGCTCCAAGCTCATAAGAACATACCCAGAACAGAACACAGACAGCACTAGATCACAAAACAAGACGCAAGCAGAACGACAACAACTCATAAAGCTACAAGGTGATATCATATTCAATTAACTCCTCCATCTGATATGATATTCAATTACAAGAAGACCATGTCGTCTAATATTAAAGAACAAAAAAAAAAAAAAAACAAGCAGTGATTACAGAATCTACCTAATCCCTTGAGTCTCAGCTTTACCATCTACCTAAATACTATGAAACACATCAGTAATGTTTATGATTCTAAACGAAACCGAGAACTAGAATCAAAACAAATAAGCTCATCAGGAACCACACGAAGCTTCAAAGAGAATCACATGAGCTCATCAGGAATCAAGGCCATCAGGAAAATACACAAACCGAGAATCACAGAAGCTCTCTCAGTAAACCGAGAAAGAAGCTGAGATGTTGAAATCGAACCTGAGATGTTGAAACCGTCGAGTGTCGAGATCGAAGAAAGAGTCTGAGATGTTGAAACCCACGGTGTCGTTCGTCGGCGAGATCGAAGAAAGAGGCTGAGATTTTTTTAGTGTCGAGTGTCGAGTGTGGGCGACAAGAACGAAGAAGGTGAGATTTTTTAGCTTTAAAAAAATTTAATGACTAATGGGGATCAGCCCTTGTAAAACCTTTTATTTTTAAACCCTAAACCCTAAATAAGCCCAATAAAGTTTACAATTAAACATTAGGACATTAGTGTATCAGCAAGTTTAATATATCAGATTCGCTCTTTAAGATGAGCAGTCTCTTATCTTAACCAGATTCTCTCCTCTGCCAGTTTTATCAGATTGGCGCAAATTCACTTTATTGGCATTCAAAATTTTCTCTTCTTTGATTGAACCAAGAGTCTTTGTTTCATAATCCTCCTTCTGACCCGGATGAATTTGTCCCCCGTTGCATCAAATGCCATCTCTGATTGACAGACAATAAACGCTTGTGAATATCTTCTCGCTAAACTCTAAGAATCTCGATATCCTAGCATAGCATTTTGTATTTGACCTATCAGCAGCATTAGATTCCTTCCTACTGTCCTGTTTCAGCTCTTTCTCCTAGTTAACATTGCTGATCCCCCTCTATTCTCTTCAATGCAAAAGATACTCAAGAGTCGAGGCTCAACAATTTTTAACCTACATATAGAGTCATGAATCTCATACGATTATTCACAAACTAGCCAAATATCAGATTCAATAGACTATAATTCAAAGTAACACTATACACATCAAAACACTTCATTAAAAGTCGATAACTTTCAATCGCAATCAATCACGTCTCGTCAAAATCAACCTAACTCATAAAGCATGAAACTTTATCCTATTCTAAACCCAAATTAAAAAATCGCAAATTTATGTTTAATTAGGACAAGGAGAGAGAGTACGCAGAAGGACGTAGCTAATGAGCATCTTAAGATTCTTAAGCTTGCCTCCACATTCCGATGCATCTCAACCGTCATTGCATGCATCAGCCCACTTTGTCTCCGTTTCGCGATTGGCGTTGCGCAATCCGCCGCCGCAGCGCAAACAACTGTCACACTAAAAGGCTTAATTGTTACGGCCCAACAATACAAAGCCTTAAATGTTACGGCCCAACATTACAAAAGGCTTAAATGTTACAGCCCACTAATGAAGTTCCGCAACAATATATTTACATTTTCTTCAAAACAAAAACAGAATACACAGAGCGAGAGATCAGATCAAGAACATCACTTCCACTCTCTTTCTTTTGATTCCATCCAATGGGTTCTGAGATTCATTCCTTCATTGGAGCTTCTGTGTTAGTTACCTCTCAAGATGACGTGACCTACACCGACTTTATACATACCATTGATATCGAGGCTTCTACATTTTTTCTTGACAAAGGTATCTCTTATAACTAAGCAAAGACAACATAATTTAGACTATGTTTCTTGGTGCACAAGCTAGCGATTACATAATGGACTCTGTTTCTTGATTCACAAGCTAGCTGGACTTCTCCTTATGTTAATGTCCAGGTTTTGATAGTTTGTCTCGTGAATTAATCACTATGATAAACATTCAAGATTCTAGTAAAATATTATGTTTCTTGACTCACAAGCTTTGAGTATTTGATGGAAAAAGGTTAGAAGAATTGGTTATGTTGAAAGTATTATTGATTGTTGGTGTTTACGCTAAATAATATGGGTTAATCTTTTACGTTTATGATGAAAATCATCATTATTACGTACGTTTTGTGCAGTAACATGCACTCGTGAGAATCCCACTAATATCAATGCGCGTGGTCAAGTTCCATTTCTAGCTAGTGACATCAAGGTGCGTTTATGTATTAGATATCATATCTACATCTCGACAAAGCTAACAAGTTTTTTCTTTGTATTCATTTCAGGATCTACAAGTTCTGAAACTCTCTAATGAGGTAGCCACCCCAAAATTATTTTTATTCCTTCACTTTTTGTTCATAACAATCTCTTTCTAAACAACAGTTTTTCTTTGTCACAGCCATCTCCTAAGCCTTATCATGAGTCTTTGCTTGGTCACTTTGTCAGTGTAATGACTAAAGAAGACGTGAGAGTTGAAGGGCTCCTTACACATCTCAATCTAGAGGAAAAAAGACTTATAATGGAGAATGGTTAGAAACTTGTCTTCATTCCTTCTCTCCCAAGAAAACAGTTTTAACTTATAGTTTGGTTCATCCTAAATTCAGCTTACTGCTACGGAACTGAAGGCAGGAAGAAGAGGAGACGTTCTGAAATCGCAGCATGCAACAAGCTTGTACTTCCTGTAGTTTTCAGGTTCAAAGACCTCAAGGTAATTAATTGTGTTTTCTAAATGGAATGTGACCAATATCAAATATACAAATAACTGTGCTGATTTTTTGCAGGATCTTGAGCTTATATTTATACCAAAAACTCAACGTGGAGATGATCAATCGGTGTTCCCATCTTTGACTAGACAACATGTCCAACACTGACCGCCAATGATAGTTTTCTTGGTTTTAGAAGAGAACCTATCTAATCACGGTTTATAGTTTTGTCCTTGTAGTGTTTCCTTATTGATACTTTGGTTTTCTAGTCACGTCCTTTATGGCTTTATCCATATGTAAATATAGTGTTTCGCAAACAAATACCATGATCAAGATTAATACAAGTTCAAGCCTCTTTGACTAGACAACATGTCCAACATTGACGGCGAATAAGCACTAAGTCAACCATAGTTGACATTTTTTTATTCAAACAGTTTTTTTGTTTTAATACAAAAACCGTCAGTTAAACTTATTAGATTCCTAAAAAATAGTAATGGCCAAACCGGTTTTGACTGGTTCAATTTACTTAATCAAATTAATGGGCTTGTGCTATATACTACAATATGGAAAATTACTAACTAATTAAGAATCCTAATTAACTTTGTATTAGGATTCTTATTCACCTATGGTATATGAAATAATTTTCAGGTTGTATATATATATATATACTCAGTAAGATAAGAATTTATGGGAGTCCAATTAGCAACAAATAAAAAAATAACAACAACCAAACAAAAACAACAGGTTGTTTGCATTGCAAGAAAAAACCCTAATCTCGTACTTACTTGAGAAAGAAGTATGGAATCAGCAAACGAGTCGAACCCTCCTCAACTGCCATCTATGTCGTTGTTTAAGTTACTACCAGAGGACATTGTTTTGAGTATCTTGGCTCGCATGCCGACGTCATACTACCCAACGCTCTGTCTAGTCTCCAAGACCTTCCGCTCGCTAATCATCTCCGAGGAGCTCGGCACGATGAGATCCTACCTTGGAACCCGAGAGGAAGGTGTTAATGTCTGCATACAATCTCGTATCAATCCTCGTGATTGTAGATGGTTCAGTCTCTGGACAAATCCCAAAGATTGTAAACCCTTATTTTATTGGACGAGGAGAGACAAGTGTACCGGAAATTTTCTATTACCACTGCCTTCGTCCTATTATCCTCGCTTGCCAATATGCTACGAAACTGTTGGTTCAGAAACATACGAGATCGGAGGTCAAAACAAGCCCTCCTCTACTGATGTTTGGGTCTACAATAAGCTGATAGGCAAACGACGCAAAGCCCCTAGCATGAGTGTGGCTCGTGAGAATCCATTTACGTGCTCACTTGATGGGAAACTATATGTAATGGGAGGGTGTGAAGGAGATGAGTCTACTTATTGGGCTGAGGTTTTTGACCCAAAAACTCAAACCTGGGAACCTTTACCGGATCCTGGGGTCGAGATCCGGTTCTCTCTAATTAAAATGGTTGAAACTGAACCAGGAAAAGTTTTATTGAGGAGCAATAATAAATTTTTTGTTTATCTTGTTAAAGAATGTAGGTGGGAAGTTTATCATGCAAACTGTGGTGAGAGTATCTGCAAGATAGATGGGGTATGGTACGCTTATAATCAACGTGAATGCTGGTGGTATGACACAAAGCGTGAAAAGTGGAGACTAGTGAGAGGTTTGACTGAACTCTGTCAGGAGTTTAGTTGTGAAGTGGAAATAGGAAGTTATGGTGGAAAACTCGTAATCTTTTGGGTCGGTCCTGCGGTGTATCCTTTCCTTAGTACCTCCCGAATTTGGTGTGCTGTGATATTGCTTAAAACAGGTTATAGTCGTTATGGTGAAGTTTGGGGTCAAGTTGAATGGGCAGATCTTGTGCTTACAGCCCCTTGGTCACATTCAGTACGCTTGTGTTGTGTGGAGTCGGTGCAATGATCTACAACCTATGCTTTTACATTTAACCTTTCTTTTTTTTTTTAATACAAGTGATGATGATATTTTAGGAAATTAGTTGCATAATATTAGATAGTATGATATATGCTGATTACTTTTATTTATACTGGCACTAAATGGAATTCTTTAATAAATATTAGAGTCTAAATCTTTCTCCATGTAATCACAAACACACATAGGTACCATAATAGTCTCAATTCAATTTCAACTTCAACTTCCAGTTTATATTTCTCCTCTCGTTTTTGTAGCTTTTTGTTCTCATTTTTCTTTCAGCCTTCTCCACCTTGTCTATGAGAAGGAGAGAAGTAGCGTTAATAACAACCTTCTTATTCAGGGAAGAAACAACAACCTTCTTGGCAGAAGCCTAACAAAAATACAGTTCCACAATTTTACATTAAAAGAAATTGTTTTTATGTACTTTGATATATGAGTAGTCTATGGGCACCAATCGTAAAAACCATGAATGCATGCTGTAATATTAGCCATTATTATGCAAGGGCTAACTGGTTATGAGTCATGACTTACTTACTGAGAAACCTCTAAGAATTGGTTCAATCTGCAAAGGGAAAGTGTTTTCACTAAAAAAGTTTTTACAATTTCCTTACCTCACTCATGTGTGTGATCCGTCAAAATATATTAAACAGTTTCTCCATGATTTCTGTAAACGAAAAAACCTAGAAATGATAATAAAGAGGAAAACCTTAGCACCATGCAGAAACTAATTTTACTTCCCTTTTTCGATCTAGACTAATGAAGGATTTTATTTTGGTGCATTGACTACGAATTAAGTCATCAACTGCAGCCACCACCACCATCCGATTTTAGAGGCGGATATGTTTAGATAACGCTTTTCTAACCTGTGGGTGAATATCGTTGATCGTGGCACATATATATTATCACTGACAAGTTCATGTGTGTCCCAAATTTTAGCAAAAAAAAAGTTTCATGTGTGATTTTTATCTACTGAACATACCTTTTGATACTTAATGATAGTTTTTAGAGTGCTGTTATTTTTCCAATATCTAAAAACACTGGCAAGTCTTCAGATGAAATATGTGAAGTCTTTATAGTCTACTTCATGATTTGTTTTCTCTGTTCGCTCTTGTTTTTTAGGTTTACCTTAAATTTGGAAAGGTCAACTTTGGTTGACTAAGATATTGGTCCAGAGTGAATGCATATCCCAGAGGTGTGAAGTATTATTTTCATTATCCATGCATGTTGTTTTGTATAACCGTAGATTAGTCAGATTTATGTGGACCGTCAAATGTGGCTTGTAGGGTTATAACTGGGAACGAACCTAATTGGAAGTCATAGATTGATAAGCAAAGAAAATAGCATAATACTACATTAATTATTATATATACCTTTATGGGATCCTAAAGTGACCCAACATTTTTAGTGTGCTTGGTGCGGTGTTATGTCCATTCAACATTTCCAATACAAAGACACTAATTATCCATCAAATACAACTTTAATTTGTAAATATTAAAACTAGTAAACTCTCTTTTTTTGCTTCTTTTTATTTATATCCTGTCTCAGCAGTGGAAGGTGCTTCTTCCACAAAATAAATCACAGTTTCTGACTTGTTCATCTGGTGATCATCATGGTTCTGCTTTCTTTCTTCTGATTGTGTTTGTTTTTGGTCTTTGATTACGACTGCCACAAGTTGTTGTTGTTGTTTCTTTACTTTGATCTTAGTGGCTGATATAGTCAAGGCTCCTAATCCAAGGATGGCTAAGCAACCTGAAGCTGCAAAGACACCGTCTTTGACAAGGTAACAATTTTCTTCAAGCCATCCTTCTCCAAAAGGCTGCGCTCGGCTCATGCTTATTGCAGTACTCAGAATCAAAACCACAACCACAAAATTCGACCTGATACATATCCACATAGGTAAGAACAAACCTCAAAAGATATCTAAGAATATATATTACCTAACCAAATCATTTTATATTTTATAAATATATCTAAGAATATATATTACCTCAGTATATATATATTTTTTTTTTGAGCAAATTACCTCAGTATATTATTCTAATTATTTCTAACTACACTTTAACCGTACACTAGATACAACTAAAGTCAAATTGTATCAAACCAAACCGACGTACAAATGGTTTTATTTGGTTTTCAGTGTATAAAATCTTAAACCGGAAAACAAACCGTAATTCAGAGCATCAACGCATAGTAAAAAGACAGATTTGAGAGTAATATTTTTTTTACCAGGAGAGAATCAAAAGAACAGTTGGTAAAGTAAGATTAGTAATCTTATAACCATCTTCTCTTTCGGTTCGTGTCCTGTAAATTCGGAACACAGCTACGTTTCCAACGATCTGAGCAACACAGAAGCAAAGAAGAGCAGCTGTTCCGAGCCAAAAAGCATGGCTTCCTGGTATATAACAGTTCCTCTCTGTGTCCCATCGAACGTCTTCTTTCTGCAGACATGAATAACTTGGTTTGAACTTTTCGACTAAAGAAAAACCAAAACAAGACTTTTCATGGAGGTTAGCTGACGTGGTACCTTTTTTCTCTTGAACTCGGCTACAAAACATGTGATGAAGGAAACGAGACCAAGAAAGAACACAACTGAGTAGAGAACATGGTTGTGCATAGTTTTAGTGATTTTGTACCTTGTTAAATTTGTGGACGCGCGTACATATGTAACTCTACTACATAAACATTTAATCTCCCTTGTCAACTAAATAAGAGTGGGAAAAGGCCAAGTAGCTGAATATTCTTAATTATATCAAATGGTATGTTTCAAAAACAATTTCGAAGGAAACAGATGATGGCGTATGTATACTTTACTTATACCACCACACACATCTTACAAATTTTCGGTTAGCTGAGGCAACTTATCACAGAAATCTTCTTCGTCAACGAAATGAATATGGAAAACGGGGAATATGTTCTAATATATTTTTTTGTAACAATATATTCTAATATTATTAAATGATAATTCTGCTATAATCAATCATTCAAAGGAAATAGACTTGACTAATTAAAGGCGGTCAACGTTGATTATTCGGCCTTTATAAACAGAACAAAATGACAAAAGACTTTGTTTATGGAAGTATAGATCAAGCCTTCCCAAGTTGAAAACTTAATACATTTTGTATTTTTTATTAAGAAATGAAAGTTTGAATTTGAATTTTCAATTGGCTACTAGGCTTAGGAACATTATCCATTTTGCTTATCTTTACTTTTTTATTTATTTATCAAATTGTTTACTAGTCTCTAGTAGTAATAAGCTACAAATAAAAATAAAATGGGTATCCCATATGGTAGTATAATATATAAATTCTTAAATATAAGATTATAACTCTTATTTAAAAAAAAAATCTAAAGCAAAGACGAGACATCATTTCTTCCTCTTCAGAGCATCAACAACATTAAGGCCAATACAATAAGCGATAGACTGAACGGTGACCATTGGATTAACCCCTAAAGCGGTTGGAAAAACACTTGTGTCCGCCACAAACAAGCCTTCGACCTCCCATGTCTCTCCCGTTGGCTTCACCGCAGATACTTCTGGTCTAGTTCCCATCCTACAACTTCCCATTTGATGAGCTGAACACATCTGTCCTGCCAAATCCTTCAATCCCTTTGAACTCTCTTCCCTCACAAACCGCTCAATCTCTACCGCACTCGCTGTTTTAACGTTCAAACACTTACCTTCTGAGTTATGTGTCCCAATCTCCTCAGCTCCTGCCGCGGTCAAAATGTTCAAGACTCTCTCAAGTCCCTTCTTTAGACTCTCTTCGTCTTCATTGTTTAAGCTGTACTCGATAGAACTCTTGGAGTTGATTGTTCCGGTTCCTTTATCTCTCAAAAGCGTGAAAACGTGTGCAGTTCTTGAGAACTTAAGCATTCGGGTTTTGAAGTCATTGCTTGATGTCCAAGGAATGACCCCTGAGAACAGCCCTGGATGAAGAGAAGGTGTTTGGATCACCGTTTCGCCATAAGAGTTCTTCGTGTCTGCGTTTACAACGCTAGACATTGCTGTCATTATCCCTCCTTCGTAGCTCTTCTTCTTCTTCTCAGGCCATTTCTCCTCCTCAGGGAACCATCCCCAAGCCATAACCACTGGATGTAAACAAAGGTTCCTCCCAATGTTACCGTTCTTCAAACCGCTGCGTTTCAACAAATGAGGCGTTCTAAGCGCACCGCAAGCCACTATCGTCGCCCTAGACTCCACAACATAAACGTCTTCCCCAAACGCAAACGCAATTCCAGTGGATGTCTTTCTCTTCTTCCCACCTTTGCATTCGTACAAAACTTCCATCGCTTCACAACCTGGAAGGATCAAACCATTACCTGATCCCACTAAATCCACAAGCCAAGTCTCTGAAGTCCCCTGCTTTTGACCTTTCTTGCATCCCAAGCAACAAAACCCACAGTAATGATCCGATGCAGCATTCCTCGGAATATTCTTCACCGGTAACCCTAACTCTTCACAGCCTTTCCTCAATATCTCATTATTAAACCCTTCTTCTAAAAACTCGCATTGAACACCCATTCTCTCACACACAACATCCATTGCCTCTCGATACAACTGGCTCCCGAACATTTCTAGTTCAGACTTTTCCGACCATTCCTTCATGACATGTTCCGGCGTCTTGATAGAGGCCGACCAATTAATAGTTGAACCTCCTCCGACCGTGGACCCAGCGAGAATCACTACGTTCATGTCAGTAGTCGCTAATAACCCACCGGATAAGTACATCTCATCTATTGCTTGTCCTTCACGTAAAGAAAGATTGCTTCTCGCATAGTAGTTTCCTTTCTCCACCACCAAGACTTTGTAACCAGCCTTGGCTAACATTCCAGCCACCACTCCTCCTCCGGATCCAGACCCAACCACCACGGCATCACACTGGATTGTCATCACTGGGTCAGAAATAGATGACCCGTTTGTGCTCCTCTTTTGAGTCGAAACCGTGAAGCCGTGACTTGTTAACTTCTTTGTTACGGCATCTCTAGGCTTTTTGAGATCGATGATGCCATGGTAAAGTGGTCCAAATATCTCGTCATGTTTGTTATTTTTTGACGTCTTCTCATTTAGTTCTTCTTCATGATCACTATGGTCAGAGCTGGGTCCGTTGTATCCTATTGCTTTCCACGCAATGTTATTTCCTTTTTCATCGACCTGGAAATTATGTTAATCATTTGAAAGAATTAAATATTTTGGGAACAGTATGGTATATCAAATTGACATTTAAAATAGTAGCAAGGTGACAAAATTCATGTTCCCTCCTGGGGTTTATTGGGTACGAATTTTCTTTGATAAGCAATTTTCGAGAGGTCCACCACAGGTATCACTGGGGCGTATGTAGACACTGTTACCATATATGGTCTTCTTTTTTTTAATCAAATTACCATATATGGTCTAAGGATTTTCTTTTTTGCATGTGCACTCGAAAATCAAGAATATATAGGTGATGATTGGTTCCACTATAGATGTAAGAATTTAGCTAAAAGTTTTAGATGTAGGTAAATTGATTGTAACTGTAAAATTGTTAATGTTGACTTTTTCTAAAGAGTTTTGATATAGTTAAACTTGTTGTAATTGTAAACTATAGACAGTAAACATTTTAAAATGAAATATATGATGTCTATGTAAATAATTATTTTTATCAATTAAAATCATTTATATTAATATTTTTTATAGTTTATCAAAGTTTACTATTACTTAAAGTGTGATATGTAAATAATATTTTATGTTATTTTAAATATGTCAATAATTTTGAAAACATCCAAAATTAAATTAAAATATCTACATAAGTTTAATTATGATAATCTAATTTATTTGACATTATAGATATTTTTTTTTATTTACCGATTCTACAGCCTATAAAAAAAAGATGTAGACTTTTGATCAAAAATATATAAGAAAAAAATGTTTTAATTTTTTGTTGGATCTTTAAAAGTAAAAATAAAGCATAATTGGTTTAAACTAATAGAAATTTGATGTAAGTTTTAACTTTTAAAAAATAAAATTACATATAATTGGTAAAGTTTAGTATTTTAAAAATAAATAAAACTAAAATAAAGATATAAATTTCAATCAATCATTCTCATGAGATGTCCAAAAAAAAAATCAATCATTCTCATGATTTTGAGAAAGCTACCTAACGCCCGAATGCATAATATGTAATGGAATTTGTTTAATCTATTGGCTGAAACCCAATTTCAATGTCCCGTTAGTATCTTTCTAAACACCACTGCCATTAAAATTCTATAACGTTAGGTGACAGCCATTAAGGCATTTTCAGCAGCTAAACACTGTTTTGCTAGTAAATACATTTCCTCAGTTATTTCTTTTTCTTTTTATGCAATGTAGTTTCTTTATGTGTCACAAAGATTAATGTTCAATTTACTAAATTTACGCAAATAACTTTTAAAATGTGTGGAAATTATAAAACATGAAACATAAAGAAACATGGGAGCATATGTATTATGTAAAGTAACAAGAAATTGTAATGAAAAAAGTCTTGGAGTTAAATTTTTACCTGAGTAAAGAAGACAAAGGCAGTGATAAGTTTGATGGACCTAAAGAACATTCTAAGGAGTAGGAAATAGCTTGAAGCCCAATTGAGCAATATCTCTTCTCTCTGTTTCTCCGGCAGCCGACAGAATCTCCGGAAGTAAGGATACTCGCCGGTAAAACTTTTCCGACCACACAAGAAGAGACTGCCGATCCAAGTGGAGAGTGACCACAGTCCTACTCTTAGAATCCACTTCTTTGGGTGGTGAAGTCTCCCACTCATTAACCTCGCCACCTATTGTTGTGGATTTATGAAATAATAACAAAACTTTAAAGAAAACGATAAAAACAAAGATAAATATTGTTGTTAAAATTACATATATTTAAATCTATTGACCTATAGTAATTTTTCGTATAGTTATTATAAATTTATAAACTATTTTTGAAATTGGACCCAAGACGTTTTGGTTTATAACTTTTACCTTTTTGTTGAAAACAATTATGACAAGAGAAAATGACATTTATATTATGACCTCAGCAATTATGAATTGGTCCTCGTTGTAATGTTAATAGTTAATACCATATAATAAAATAGCTATAAGGAAACGAATAAGTGGTTGTAAAAAAAAAGGAACTAGTGTGACAATCAATTTTTAGATATATTCGGCATGCCTGACGAAGGAATTTAGTTGTACTCGAAATCGGTCGGCTCTATATTTCACTTAAGAGTACTGGCTCTTTGTAGTAAGTACTGATTATTTAATATTTAGCGGTTAAATTAGCATGGAACAATATCATATATATCTACATTTTTTAATTAAAACTATCATGTTTTATTCAAGCAAATCATTTCATTCACTTATGGATAGTTTAAGCTGTAGAAGCTGTTGATTTAACTTTATCAAAAACCGGATATGTATTACATTTGAGAAAGGAATTTTTTTTTTTGCGTTTTGTACAAATTATTCAACTTCAATTAAAAATGATTTTGTACCAACAAAGATTACAGACAACACACTCGTAACTTAAAATCATTTATGTCGTTATTCGTTCATATTATTCATATATTGTTAAAAACTGCTAACCTAATAAATAAAAAACTGCTAATCTAATGGTTTATATTAAAACTTAAGAAAAATACTATCAAATCATTCAAATAAGTTCTATTCTATATATGTAAGTAAATGCATGTAGCATATATCATTGTAGTTTGTAGATGTATGTAAAATGCATGAATATATGAAACATTACGCGGTCAGGAGTTCCGGTATGAGAAGCGGAGGCGGAGTAATATCCGGCGACGCCGTCATCCAGTTGCCCTACTTTA